TCCCCAAAGAACACCCCTGGTTCATTGAACACCCCCTGCCTTCTCAACTCATCATACAGAACTGCCCTGTCATTCACCTTGTTGGGACTATAGCTGTGACCAGACAACTCTCACTACCAGAACGAACCCTTATACTGATAAAATGCTCATCCATCCCTACTTCACTGACTTGCAAACCTGACTTCCAGAAAATCCAAACCCTACCAAAATGAGAGTACTTATAATTAACCAAATATTTCCAACTACTAAAGTGCTTAGTCCTTATATCATCTGCATTATGCTGCAAAACTCTCACTACCAGAACGAACCCTTATATTGATAAAATGCTCATCCATCCCTACTTCACTGACTTGCAAACCTGGCTTCCAGAAAATCCAAACCCTACCAGAATGAGAGTACTTATAATTATCCAAATATTTCCAACTACTAAAGTGCTTAGTACTTATATCATCTGCATTATGCTGCAAAACTCTTGTTTCTAATATAGCAAATAGATCTACTTGTAACTTATTTTACCTGTTTATTTATGTATCTATGTTTTTCAGGGTCATTAAAGCCCCTAAGGTTCCAGCATAAGAACTTCAGTTACCCCGTTTCCTGTTCTTCCCACCTTTCTTTTGGGAAACAGGAACCACAAGACCAACACCCTTAGTGTTGAAAGGAACTCGAGATTGCACTGCTGAAGCTGGAACCCTGACTGCACTGCCTTGCTGCACAGGAGTAGTGTTCTTTCAATTCCGCACAACTAACTGGAAACCATCTTCATCAACTAAGCCTTCACCGAAGTAGCAGAACTAGGAGCAACTGGCTTGTCTCCCACTGGAGTAGCAGAACTAGAAGCAACAAGCTTATCTCCCACTGGAGTAGCAGAACTAGAAGCATCTCCCACCACACCTTCAGAACCCCCAGGCGAGGAAACAACCACAACTTTCCCCTTATCAACTACCTCAGCGGACACAGACTCCTTCTCAACTACCTGCACTCCCACACTCAGAGCCTTACCACATTCAACCCCCTCACCCATTTTATGCCCAAACTCAGCAGCCTGCTCACAGCGATATGGAGCATGAAGATAATGAACAAACAAGCTAATCCGCTACTCGCCGTCTGGCCTGATCCGCAGCTCCGAAGGGAACAATGAGTCCACCGCCATCTCAATGCAGAGTTTGGCAGTACCCATTTCAATACAGAGTTTGGCAGTACCCATTTGCACCCCAAGCCTCATCACCTGGTCCATCCATAGCGGCGTACCCAGCAAGCTCGCCACCCTTCTAAGACCATCCACCATCATATACTCAAGCGGCAACTCTCTAATACGAACCTAGATCGGCAACTTGGTGCGATCCGACTTGACTGACTGAATCCCTGGTACCCATTTACGGAGAAAAAGAGGGATGTTCTCGCAGTGCCAAGGCCCACTCTCGAACACACAGTTACTCGAATCCACATTCTCAAACTGAAACATATTCTCACCGAAAACTAAAACATAAACCCTACCATCTGGACCACAAAATTGTTCTGCCCCGTGACGAATCGTGGCAATCGGTGGCGCATTCGAGAGCAACTGACCAACAAGCGCGTTCCTCCATCGAATCGCCCCCTCATCACGCACCGCACGAGGAATAACTAACTCTCCATCCACCAGCTCTGGCGCTACATAACGGAGGCGATTACCCTCCCCCGCTCCAAATAGCTGAGCCCAGTTCGTCGGCTCAGGAGCGGCCATGGCCGCCGAAAACGCGAAGGATTAGGTCAGAAGAAGGAGAGAGAAAGAAGAGAGAGGTCAGAGCATTTTAGGTACTACTTAATTTGCAAGGAAAAATATACTTGGGACCTGGAATTGTAAAGGATAATGGACTTGGTCCAAGCACACAAACGCACACAGCCAAACAGTCAATACCCCCCCCCCCCCCCGGGCCTGCGCGGCACCCCCTACACTTAAGTTTGACATCTCCCTCAATGGAGCAAAGCTAAGGAAAAAAGAACGATGTTACTGGTGAAAAGCAACTATTGCCAGGATCGGAGTAGGGTGAGGTAGGGCGGGATGATCTCGACCTCAGCAAAACAAAAGACCACAAGGGTGACCGAAAATCAGAAAAAAAGGTAAAGGAAAACTAACCAGTGGTTGGGTTGCCTTCCAACGAGCGCTTTTTACGTCTTTAGCTGGACGCAGACGGTGGATGATCATAGCGGTTTATGAGCAGGTGCCTCCAAGAGCATATCCATGTCGCTCTTGAGGTACAACTTCGGCTAGTGGCCATACACATGGAGGTGTGGCCATCAGCATGCGATAACTCACCCTGGCCATCAGGTAGAATTCGAGCAAGTGAATGCTCGGATGGCCATGGCGGTACTGACTTAGGAGCTAGGACCAGCTCATATTGGTCTCTTGCTTTCTTTTCGACAGGCTTAGCTGCCTTCAAATTTGGTCGCCACTCCTCCTCGGACTTCTCTTTTGATGACTAAAGTAGTTGGAGTGGCGGAGTAGGAGGGGGCTCAATATAAGCAAGAGTGATATTATAGGAAGTAATGTGAGTGGAAATGATGCTACATGTATAAGCAAGAGTGACACTATAGGAAGTAATGTGGATGACTCGAAGAGTGGAAGTGGGCAATTCAAGCTGGAAACAATGTTGCATTTGTTTCCATTGAAGATTACGAAATGGTATAAGGTGAACTTGCTTGTTAGAGACATGGACTGGGAGTGGAGCTTGCTTGGTTTATTATGTTATTTTTTTATCCCTTGTTGACTTGGAAGACTTAGATTATTGTATAGTTTGCCCTACTTTGGATGTATAATGAACTTAATTTAGACTATAGTTTGGAATTAGGTGTATGTGAGACTTCCTTATTATTAATGTTTGTATGTTTGGAGTCTTTGTTTTCTTAAAAAATATATAACATGTTGTTAGTAACCAAAAGAGGGGGAGGTGTTGTTGGATTTATTGGGCAGACATACCAAATGGGCATATTTCTGTTTTTTTCGGTCTCTTTCGATTTTAGGATAAAATCAGACCAAACTTGATCAATCCAATTCGGTCTTGGTTAAAACCAGATCTCATCCTATAACACCCACACGAGTTACTGATTAACGCACCCAAAAATGACAACTAAAGCACTGTTTCCTGATATATGACCAGGATCTCCTAGGCTTACAAAGTAAAGTAGTGACATAAAAGACCTCGTTCTTTTTTTCCTAAGGGATGGTCTTTAAGCGTTTTTCATCTTCACCTTCCTCATTCCCCCTCCTCATTTCCCTTATCTGAATCCCTACTCTTTCCCGTTGTTCTTTCTCTTTCCGCTGACTTTCTAAGATAGGTAACAGCTTCCTAAGGCAGTTTTACACATCCATTAACAGCTCTAAGCCTAATCCAGTTTTCGCTTGCCATTTTTTTCCAAAACATATATGAGAAAACCAGTCCAATTTAATCGAACCGAACCATCTTCTTTCTTCAAGTATCCAAGATCTAAGAAGAACCTTTGAGTTAACAAAAAAAATGGGCCTCTAGCTTTAGCTATAAATTTAGTATAAGGAAGAAAGCTCAGAGTTCAAACCTTAGATTTGAAGGGGAAGAGTAAAGCTCAATCAATCATATATACGCTAAAACTACACATGTAGAAACTCTTCTGATTTATTGCAGCTAAGTGATTGCAAAACTTAACTATCATTGTATATTTTTCCACTTTTTTCTATGCAAATACAACTGTGGAGGTGTCTTTGTTTTTCCCATTGAAATTCATTGAGTTTGATGAAATGAATATCCAAGATAAATAACAAGCATTAACTCCTAGTATGATACCAACAAGATTTCGATATATTTTTATTGTATGAACATTAATATTTGATTTCTTTTGGGGACACAAGAGATAGTTATCTTATGGGGTCATTTAATAGGTTATTGTCATGAGTTATTTGAGTCCAAATAGTTTGTTTGAGTTTACAATTTTGGCATGGGTTATTGGGAAATAACCCGTTTTTTAGGGCTCAAGATAGGGTGCATAACCCAGCACCCATCAATAACCAAATCTGAACCCTTCATTTAGAAAATCCAGATCTAAGGATGGAGAATTAAAGGCTATTTTTATTTTCACTAGCTTTCTTAATTGACTCATATCTTTTTCGTTTTAACTCGGATTTTAATTTTTTTTGCACAGATGGAACGAGTTCACCGTGCTCTACAAAATGAGATCAATTTTCAATATTTTTTTAGGAAAAAAAAATTCTGGCCTCTCGGTACCAACTACATACCATATGGTATCTTCTTCGTTTTTAATTCGTTTTTGAAAACGTTTGCACAGCAGGGATGAGTTCATCATGATCTACTGGATCTACAAATTTCTGGGTGAACAAATTACAGGACAAAAAAATACCACACAATATCATACAATACCACCCTGGTACGGGGTGGTATTGTATGGTATCTTCTTCGTTTTTAATTCGTTTTTGAAAACGTTTGCACAGAAGGGACGAGTTCATCATGATCTATTGGATCTACAAATTTCTGGGTGAACAAATTACAGGACCAAAAATACCACACAATACCATACAATACCACCGTGGTACGGGGTGGTATTGTGTGGTATACAATGTTAAAAGTCGTAAATTACAATTAATATACTTCTACTATCATGTATTCAACCATCCTACAATATTGGTTTGTTCATACCACCATGGTACGTTTTTCAAAACATAGGTATGCTTTTATTTCAATACCAGTCAATACCATATGGTATAGGCTGGTAAAAAATGGCTCAATTTTTTTTGTTCGAAAAATATATTAAAGTGGATATCATTTTGAAGAGCACAATTAATCTGATCTAACTGTGCAAAAAAAATTAAATTTCGACTTAAAATGAGCGAGAAATCGTCCGTCAAAGATTAAAGAGGGAAAATTAAAGGCTTTTCATGAGAGAGAGGATGCTGATGTCATGCTGATGTTGACGGGTTATTCATGGTTACTCACCATAAGGTTACTGACCTGATCCATTCCTTTTTTAGGTATTGTAAATAACAGAGGTACCCCAGTTATTCTTAAATAACGCGTTTTGCGTTAAAGAGAGACTGATTCCTCCCCTCACCTCTCTCCTCTCGCCTTTTCTTCTTCCTCTTTTCATCTTCTTCACCTCTTCATTGATTCTTCTGCCGAAATAAAAATCCATTGAGAAGCGGACGTTTAATGTGCGATCTTTGGATTCAATTTTATATGTAGGTCAGATTGAGTAGGCTCAAGCCCAGGTTGCACTGGCAAACTAAGGCTTCCCTGGCGTCGGCGGCGACATGGAGAATCATCGATCGATTCCTCTCCCACTTCTTGTTCCTCCTATAGTCCGCCTCCTGCGATTCGCAATTCAAGGGCTTCGAAGCTGATGAAGACGATGTCAGCTACTGCATATTCAGATACCTCCCAATCAAAATTAGATTCATCAACTCCGACTGCTACTATGATTGCAAGCTTCGTCGACTGGGATGAGGACGAGTTTGAAGGTATGCCAACTGCTGTTGTGCTGTGTATTTAGAAGAATAGTCTTCTTCGTCCTCCTTTGTTGCCATCGAAGTCCAATTTTTCCTACCGTGACCAAGCTTCATTGACGGTGAATTTGAGATACGGGAAAAGGGTCAGAGAATGAGTCTTCGGGTTATGCTTTTCCTGAAGTCGCCAGCGATGAATCTAGAGTTGGTTATCGACTCTATACTTATTGAATTTGGGGTTGCATGGATCTGTAGATGGGTTGCATTTGATTGTTCTGGGCTTTGCTTGGTTTTTTTTTTTCCTCTCGTGCTTTTGATTGCTGGTAAATAGAATGATTGCAGAGGAAACTTGTTTAATTGGATACGGTTGGGTGAGGATTGGGTAAACTATTGATGGTATGTGAATTAATGAAAGAAAAGAAATAGGCGGCAGCCATGGATAGATGAAACAAAGGTGCATTTCTTTCTCTGAGAATGACAGTGTATGGGAGAACAGAGGAGCTTTTTCTTCTGCTTCTGGAAATGGGAGTGTATGGAATGGAAGGGTAGATGGGTGTCAACAATTGAGGGCAAAAGGGTATTTTAACTCAAATACCACAAGTTAAATGCCTCATATGAATGGTTGATCCAAACAAAATAGTTTAACTCAAATATCACATCCTCAAATAATGAGTTATTTGTGATTAAATACCACACCACAACAAAACACTCATCCAAACGACCCATATAATTAAGGGATGTGAGGCCGGGAGGGGTTATGGTGGATACCAAGTTTTAGTATCCACGGTGGTTATTAGGGATAATAGGGGTATTTTGCATCCTACTCATTATCAATTGCCATTTTAATAATGCAATTAATTAGGGAGAGATGAGAGATAATTACGGAAACTAAATATATGGAGTTTTAATCACAGTAGGAGTTTCTTATACCAAAAATTACGGCAGGAAAAGAATTATGGAGTGGGCATGCGGCCCTAGGGGAAATGGCGTTCGTCGACGATGCACCATCGCCAGATGTGGGAGAGGAGAGAAGGATAGCAATGGAGGTGTTGTTCGGAGAAAGTCTGACGTCGGATAGAGAGGAGATGGAAACGGCAATGGAAAGGGACGACGGTAAGCATCTAACCCATATTCTAACTCATTACTAATTGTATGCTTTCGTTGAACGGCAAAATCTTAACACCATTTTTTTTGGCAACCTCTTGGACAGGGTCAGATATCGACGGAGATCCGACCGGTGACGTAGGCGTCGGAGTGGACAATTCCGAAGGAGGTGGGAATGGAATCTTCTGTATTGGTATTTGTTGGAATATTATTGGTAGTTCGATCAGCATTGGTATTGATATTTCCTATATTGGATTGGTATTGTGGCGTACTTTGTCGTTTCACATTGGTAGTGGTTCTATTAGTATTTGTATTACGTGGGTGCATGATGGTGGCGTGGTTTCTTATCAGTTGCTATGGTAGTGATTAGTAATTGCAATGGTAGTTACCGCATTGTAGTTATCAGATACTGTAACGGTAGTGTTTAGTTTGTGGTAATATGACCTACTGCAATGATAGTTATTCATTGTTTCTGGCTTTTTGAAGCCCCACGATTTGTGTTCTTGGTTCTTGCCATTACAAACAACCTACCATTCCACACCAAACATCACAGGTATGCAGATCACTACCAATGCGAGAAAAAAACCTACCATTCCACACCAAACATCACAATTCTGCAGATCACTACCAATTCATGAAAAGAACCTACCATTCCAAACAACATGAAATCTACCATTCCAACTAAAAACTTCAATTCCACACCAAACTTCACAGGTCTGCAGATTACTACCAATGCATGGGAAGAACCTACCATTCAAAACAACCTAGAACCTAGATCACTACCAAAATTGACCACTACCTTTGCAAACAACCTAATAGTATTCAATACCAAACGACCATATACCAATCCATGTCAAACAAACTATCACAATCGCACAGATATAAAAACGACAAGAATAGCATTCCACAAAAAACAAAACTCGGATTAATACAATTTGAAGAACATGCAATGTCTATACAATAAAGAGCACTATTACTACACGTTTACAACATGATTTGAAGAACTCTTGCCGATCCCACAACAACGAAACAACCAGTTGTCGAAACGTCTCCCGCTGCGTCGGGGAGAGAACTTGCGGGTGCCGGAGGGGATCTGCGGAGACAATACAAAACCTTGGGAAATGAAAGGGAGACAACCTCGAGTGAATGAGAGACAACCTCACCGGTGCGCCGTGGAATTTGGGAGTGGGAAAATCCTCGGAAACGAGAGAGAGATGCCAAAACCCTTGACGATGCGACAACGAGAAAGAAATCGTCGATGGTTGGTCGATTGAACTATGGTTGGAAGATCGACGCGCTGGAGAGAAAACAAATGTCGTCGGATCGCCGAATGAAGACTGGAGACGACGAAAACAAAACGGGGAAGCGCTGATCACTGATGAGAGCTTCTTGGGAGCGGCATTGTGGAGCAAAAATGAAAAATAAGGGGAAGAATGAAATAAAGAATTAAAGATCCCATTGATTTCGCTCCCATAATTACGTTAGTGAGAGAATGGATCGTGTGGGTTCCTCCCGAATTTAACCTTTACTAAAATGGGCCCTTAGATTGGATTCACTTAATCTTAATGGCCAATAGCTAAGTGACCATCATGATTACTCAAAAAAGAGTAACCAAGCTAACACATTCCATGTGAGACCTTTCAAATTTTATATTTACTTACAAAAAAATAATATGTGATTTGGCGTATTCTAATATAGTATTTATTAATATGTAACAATGTATTTCTAAACATTTATGGATTTTTTCCAATAATTTATGTAACTTTTGAAAGAAGAAAAAAACTAAGTAAGAATTGTCCTTTTCTCTTTCATTAAAACATGAAATATGGATGTATTGGATAAATGATTTTCATTCATAGTTAACGCATATTAATCATTCTCTTCCATCAGCCATATTCTCTGATATTTTCATAAATTGGTCTTATTGTTTCTCATTGAGTTATGAAAGTTTATTATATAAAATTCAAATGTATATTTATTTTAATGCTCTTCATAACCGTATTAAAAGAAGAAAATTCTGAGTAAGAATCATTTACATTTGCTCTTTCATTATTTTTTATATAAATATAAAATATGGATGTATTAGATTCGATGATTTATTTTGAAGAGTTTTTCAATACGAGAAAGCTAGTTATATCTTGCTCCGTCACCTCGATGATTTTATTTTTCATGCAAGTTATCATAACATAATCAAATTGGGTAACCTAGGTTAAGAATAAACCAGACCCGACATAGTTTACCATCACGGTGCAGTAGAAGTAGAACTGGCTACCTAGCACCCGAGAGCAGCCTTTTAATTTCTCCATCTTCTAGACTGATCCTCCGCGTCGCATTCTTGTTAAATTTTCCCTCTCTCATCCTTTTCTCCCTAAAAGTCAAGCAAGCCTTGGTATGTCAATTTTGTTATTTGACGGGAAGCTCTACTTCAGGACTCCTTCTCGTTCCGGCCAAAGTGAAAAATAAGAAAGCTTTCCCCAATTTTGCTCTCAAGTAAGTAGGTCGACCATTCTCTTCACATCTTCTAGTTTTGAAATCACTTAATGTTGTCTTGCAAGCTTTGCTTATTAAAGAAATATATAATTCAATGGTTTGTTTAGTGTATGATGTGTGGTAGAGAAGGTGTGGAAGAATTGGAACAGCGTATTGGAGATTTGCTGGAGAATTCGAGGAAAATGCGGTCACAAATGTTCGATGATTTGCATCAACTTCAATCCGATCTCGCATATACCCGTAGTTTGCAGTTGGAAACCCAGAGCAGGACAAATATCGGTCATATCTTAATGGAGTGCAATTTCACAGAATTGAAGTCCAAATAGGCTTCCATTATGGACTTGCTGAAGCCTATTCAATCGGGCTCAGAAGCTGGAACATCATGTTCCAAAAAGATGTTGGATGATGACTAGAAGCTTGAAGGTTTGCAATTAGGTTTGCTACTCCATGAATTATATTGACTTTGGTTCATTCTAATTATTTAAGAACACAATGTTATTGTATGTTGTGTTTGCAAAATAGTCTTGTTCAAGACTTTAGAAGAGAAAATTCAATTTTTCGCAACAAAGGCTTTAGAGTGGTACAATGCACAAAATGAGGTTAGTTGGTTTGTAACTTTTCTCTACCCATGTGTATAGTAAAGAAACACTCATATAATTGAGTTGTTTGTACAATTTAAGAATGCTAGTTTTATATTAGATGAAGCCATTATGTGCAAGCATCTTGTGTTTGAGGGTTCATCATACAACTATCTCAATTTCATAACTAGTGCCAAAGAAGGATATGTTCATCTTTTTTTGTTGAAACAAGTTCTAGCGATCGGTCACAAGTGTTGTCATGTTTCATACTTGACAGCGAAGATGGTATATGGAAGGCACAGAAAATTAGTCTTGTAGCTTTTTATTAAATTAATCGTCTCTCAAAAATCTTAAATAAAACATGTATTTGTTAAGTACATGATAAGAATATCATTGATGAGCTGCCTGCAAAAAAAAATTTGAATGAATTTGTTTTTTTCAATAGAAATGCATTGAGTTTTTTTGGGGTGGGGTGGAGGGGGGGAGAGATCAACCGATGAGATAACCAATAAGTGTTATTTTGTGTTAGCCAATGTCTAAGACCAACAAGATTCCGATACGTATTTGTTGTATTAATATGAATGTTTGATTTATAGATAATCAACTTGCTTATAATTAAGGGAAGATATGGCTTTGAAATTTTGGTATATACAAAAAGAATAAAATGTGGCATGTCATCTCCTAAACTAGTATTATTAACGTACATCAGTGTAATTCCAAATGTTTTGGATACATTTCAACATTTTTTATTATCAATACATTTCAACAATTCAAGTAAGTCTTTCAAAATTAAATATAAATTTTGTTCAATACTCTTTTACACCCGTTGTTCCATCATCAAGAGCAAGTCTTCCTCATGGAAAGAGCATGAGCGTAGAATAAGGATTAATCCATAGAAAGAAGCCAAGAGAAGATAAACTAAGAGCATAACAGACTGCAAATCCACCCGAGAGAGCCTAAGAAAGAGTTGAAAAGAGGCAACCCTCGTGTAAAAGAAGGGGCAAAACTAAGAATTGTATCTTTTTGTTATATTCTTTTTAATATAAAATATGCAATAGGGATGAATTGGATTGGATGATTTTATATGAAGTTGTTTTTCAAGTTCACGTACCCTAATCATTGGTTTGAATTTAACTATGTTCTATGACATTTTGGTGAAAATTATGAGGGTTAATTTATGTAAATTTTAAATAATCACATATAAATATATTGTACAAGTAAGAATTTTAATTTTGTTCTCTTTCATTATTTTTATATAAATAATATAAAGAAAAAATATTTTTATATAATATATACGATATGGATGTATTGGATTGGATGATTTCCCTTGCATTATTTTTTGAGTAAACATACTCCATATGATATGATATCTTGCTGAATTGGTTGTTCTGATATTTGATCGAGTTCGAAGGGTAAAATTAGTTATTATTTTACTATACGAGTACGTACGAGATCAATTTGTCTTACATAGTTTATTGGTTTTAGCTGTGATAGTAGTAAAAGTTCCATGATTAATTGAGTTATTCATAATATGTATGCTATGGCTTTTTATTTAGATACTATTTTTATTGTTTGTGTATCTAAATATATATATGTAAAAAAATTTGGTCACTTCCTAAGATATACAAGTGAGCAAAATAAAAAATATAAGCTCGCGTCCATATATTTGTCTCTATCATCTCGTCAATCAAGACTAGAATGCGACTAGCATGGGATCGTAATAGACTTGAATTCTTGAACTGTCAGTCCATTATATAACCAATTTGCAAGACAATAAAAAGGATATACCCGAAAAGATCAACGAGTGCTTAAGAATATCATTGAGCAAGGGGTTGGTAGCTGTAGGACCCTATAATTCTTGATTATTCCCATAGTTAACTTTAAAAGAAAATAATTCTTGAAAATGAATTTTCGTAGATTATTTCATTTATTTAACTCTTTTCATATAGAGTAAGTAACAATATGTATCATTCAGAGTTATTTGGTTTAATATGAACTAATCACAGTAAAAGGTAAATCATGAAATTGTGCTGGAGTTTTTATAGATGCATTGATGTTGTTATATGCATTAGCAAGGTGTGTACTACAAGAGAGAATTGATTTGATTTGTTGAGGAAATAAGATTTTCCTTAAACTAAATTTCAAGTATATTGATTGACTAAATTTTTATGATGGCATAGAGTATGGATAAGGAATGCGATTTTCTTATTGTATTATTTAGAATACTTTAGAGTTTAGATATTGATATATATGTATTTTTTTATGCGCAATAAAAAATTTCCATTAAGAACCAGGACACCTTAAAATCAAGGTCCTCTCAAGTTTACTTTTTACATCTCAACAGACTGCAACTAAAACAAAAAATTCTAACTGTAAAACTACTCTATTGATATATTCAACTCTATATTCTTTGGAGCTAAACA